CTTTCCCGAAACATTTGTTTACGTTTTTATGATTGAATACTGATTTATATATAAACAGCGTAATATTTATTGTGATATATTTGGCATGACTACGAATCACTGAAAACGAGCTTGTTCGCCACTCCTTGTTCCTTTTGAAAATGTGCTCTGTGGGACTGTTTAGACAAATGTATATAATAAAAATAATAATAATAATAATATAATAATATATATAATAGACAAATATATATTTAATAAATAGAAAACAAATGGACTTGATAAAATTTTAATGTGACAGGTGATTATTCAAGTCAGTAATAATATTTTCTCGGTTGACCAAGGTACGAGCAAAGTAAGAGACGATGTTTCTATATGTGGTGCTGCTTGCACAAAGAATCCAAAATGTTGGAACACGTATTCGGATGAGACACCAATTAATTGAGATGGTTATGCGGGAGGATTCTTCATTTGACAGTATTTGACTGATAAATCTGTCGCATGAATCAAAATGCTTGCTCACAAAGAAGTCAACCAAAACGGTCTATGAAATGCCACTACAACGGGATAGAAGTTTAGGAGATCTGGAAACGAGAATAAAGTCTTTCTCCTTCATAGCAGGAAATATACGGGAGAACAATACAATCAACGTGGAAGAATGCATTCAGTCACAAATTTAAGAAATACATTTAGGGGAACGCCGAGCGTCTTAAGAAGCCTGAAAGCGTAGAAGGATAGCCTATAAACCACAATATAAATGTTTTCAACATGTTTTAACCAAAAAGGATTATGTGACAAGGTAACTCCAAGATATTTCACGGAGTTCACAGAGTTAAGTTAGCTGAAGGTTGTTTTCGAATTGTTTTGATGGTTTTGATGGTGTATTACTTAAAATTGACAAATAATAAATCGCAAATCAGGAATCAACAATCCCAATCACAATGGAATCATGAAATCGCACTAGTAGCAACCATATTTGACGCAGAAAAGTGCATGGTTATTGTTGTGCAAACTGTAACTGGAAATGAGTAGTCATCTATTGAAGTCTACCGTCAACGAGACGTAGAGAGAAGGCCACTGAAGTAATAGTTCATTTTTTGACAAAAATCAATAGGATTGAAAGACATAAATGGAAATATTATTTACGGAACGGACATCAGCCAATCGCCGTTCGTCCTCATGGCGTCACAAAACCTATTTGAACTGCATGGTCTTTGATTGATCCAGGCTGTTGGACTCTAACCCACTTTCCTCTAACGGATATCCTTTTGGTTGGTTTTTACCCGCACGGTTGAGTCATTACGTGTAGTGACATGTGGTGTGAGTTATGCACTTCCAAGGTGTTGACGAAAAACTGAAAATCGGTTCTCTTAACTTGGGTGAACTGAATGCCATTTCTCTTGTTCACCAAGTTAAGGTGTTGTCTACGGTCATGGATTTTGATGGGCCCATCTCCTAATTAATCTCTAACAAAGTAGGCAGTAAAAAATAACCACATTTCTGCGTAGACAACTGCAATACACCGACAACCCGAATCTAGTACAACGTTTCCGTAAGCCTGAAAACGGCTGGGTTAGTGTTTAACAACGTGAGACGCCTATGGTACCGCAGCGAAATTTGTTTGTTCGATGAGCTTGGAATGCGTGCTGCAGTTATCTGTTCAGTTGCACTCTTCCGTGCATAGGCATAACTACTGCAAGAGAAGAATAATTATTGACTGGCAGTATTCTAAAAGTGCAGTCATCGCCGTATTGCATTAGTCTGTTGGGTGACCAGACAAGCGATGTTGAATTTGGATAAAATAACATTAAATGGTTGCGTTAACGCAGTGACGTAGTTGGAACCGACTGGGGCATGTCTTATTCGTGTCAACAGATGGTATTTCCGGTGTGCTATGCTCGCAGGGGCAGTTGAAAGGTGGAAGAAGAGTATGGGGTTCATCGGTATGAGACATATTGTGTGAGTAAGAAAACTTTAACCAGGAAATTCCGTCATACAGTTTTGGGATCCCTTCCCAGATCAACCTAACGAATGCTTGCAGACACTTGGCAATATGGCTGAGTGTTGTAAAAAGCGGGGCTCTTGCAGTTGTCTAACTTCCAATTAAATCTATTTCATTTGGTTTTAATTCTTTCTCTGAAGCCTCCATCGATGGTCGATAAACTGGATAACCGGAAGGTAATAATCAAAACCGTATAATCGTATAAACTGAATTAAAGCACCAATAATTTTGAGTATGTATTATCACAGGTCACCTATTCAGAATCGCTCTCGGCAATATTTTTTCTAAAAATTGTGCTTTTGAACTTGAGGTTGTTTTTAATAATGAAATTCCCTTAGACTTGGACACGAGGAAGAATGGAATTCAGTATATGAAAATAGTGCATTAATTTAAAGTGAACACACGTTCAAACTGTGCGATGAGTTCAGTTCTGCTTTGATTCGACTTGAAATACCTCATCGCAATCTCAAAAGTGTAACGGACTGTCTATCGACGCGCGTAATCTCTTTACAATATATACACATTGCTGGATGAATAATGTCTCTTTTTGTACGGAAAACAAATTTCTTCTATAGCACACCATATCAATCCAGAAATATTTGTGTTCTTTGCAAAAGACTGAATTGCGTAGTTTTATTCATTTGACTCCAAATTTGGACCAGTCACAGTCGAGGCATTGCCAAATATCTCAGTTTGGGACCAAGACTAGCCCTGTTTCTCTGTCCGATATTCTTTATTGATATTTCTCTACCCATTCCTCTCGTGCTCATTCAGTTATAATTTGCTGATTATCAAACACTGATACATAGAATGGGAAGTTGAGATGTAAACGGAAACTGTCTGAGTAGCTGTTTACAGTAAACAGCTGCAGCAATTATAAAAAAACAACAAATGTTACATGTTTATATTTCACGATAATTTCCTGAGACGAATAGTTCTCCCTGATCGTTCGAGACTTCTTAAGAATTCTATGATGCAGAACCCAGACAGCAGGAGATAATACACACATTTATGGGGAGAGTGTGATTAGAATAACCTAAAGATATCTCAGTATAACCATTTAGACCATATATTTCAGTTAAAAAATTGAGATTTATATATATACATATATACAACTATACAACAATTGTAACAGTTTTAAATGGGTAGAAAATAAAGAATCTGCTTTCCAAAATGTATCATTTTTTCTCGAGTCCATATACAAAAATGTACCATGAAAGCAAAACAAAAAGACATATGTAGGCAGATTCGACATTTGGCATACCTTCCTTTGGTCGTAAACACAATTCTGTTAGAGAAACAAAAACGAACAAATTGAAACCAATCCTCAATCAAAGTGAGAACTAAGCGATTCGCTGAGGCAAGTTTGTTTATGGGCTGAGGTCGCTTGTTAAAGCAAATGACAAACGTTGAAATTATGATAGGAAATTGACGTAATTCAAACATTCGGGTGCTGGCGGGCAGTGGTTTAGGTGAAGGGGCAGGGATATACACATTAAACATGTGGCAGGCAGGCACTGCCATCACCACTGCAAAAAACAATTGCTTGGCAAATTTTTTGTTAACACAACTAATGTTTTGAGCCATAAACGGTTGAAGCTTTCAGAAATTGCCAAGTTTATGGACTTTGTCTAATGATCCGAATTGATTGAAGAAATCGGTTTGAAGACTGAAGTTTAACAAATGTTGATTATGGTTTATCGCCATGATGGTCCTAGGTCTCAGCAAGATATTTTCACTCTTGAGCTGATAGACAACGCTGTGTTCTTCTACTGTTTCTTAGGTACGTTGGAACGAATAGATAGATAGATATATTCTTATTTCAGCTAATTGCGAGTGATACAGGAAAAAAACTGGCAAAGAAAATCACTATTCCAGTGGCACCAAGTGTTTCTTCCACGGTTATACAAACTGCACTGAACTGAACTGATATGCTAGACAAAGATTTATTCTGAGTATGACTTCGTCTCCCTTGAAAAGTGGTTTGGTGTAGACTTTTTTTTGACATTCACTTTTATCTTTCTCCTAAATTTTTACTTCCTTTTACTGAATGCACAATGATACAATTTTCAGGAAAGGGGAAGCAGACAATCAGAGGGCTGCCATGCGACATACAACGGGGAAGTCAGGCGGTGATGGTGGGATTCGAACACACGTCCTCCGAGGTGATAATTTGGAGACGTTACCACCGGGGCAACACCGCACGGGATTGAGAGAATTTTGATACTTTCTTCAGAATGCAAGAGGAAGATTGTCATCCAGTACCGCATAGATCAGCCTGCCTGATTCCTCCGGATAGAATAATGGATTACTTAGCTGACGAGTTCTGTAATTTAAAGCCTGCATTAGACCAACTTTTTAGCCCGCAGGGCAAAAAACACACGAATGATTCTATATTATTAATTAAATAAAGTTAACCTGAGGATTACACTCAATGAATCGTTCGAAAACTTACCTTGCAGAGGAAGAATATAATTGTTTCAAACATTAGGCAACCAAATTTATACCCTCTACAGTTACATAAACAAGGATATGACATACAATACAATGCAAAAGTTCTATTATGATTACCTTAGTCTAATCCATTTAGTCCTTTTTGAGTAATCTGTTTCATGTAGTATAAAATTCAAAATGTTGCCCTCCTTGTCATGTTTTGGGTATTCAAACTGATAGTCTCAAAATCATCGTTAACAGAAAAGCATTTTCGGTTCACAACACTTGTATGTGATGATGTTTTCGATAAGTTCTCATGCATATGGACTAAGATGCAGCTGTATCAAACCAAAATATTTATTGTTTCATACAATTAATATTAAGTGAAAAATACATTTCTCATTAGCGTGATAAAGTTATTGAAAACTAAAGTCCGTTCACGTACCACTATGTAACCGTTTGGTTAAGTTCTGTGTTTAGGAAAAAACATGTTAAACTGTAATATATTGTCCTTTGTGTGCTGAAATGAAAAACATTAGCTATTCTCAATACCTGTTTGTAGCTGCAAAGAACAAAATCAAAACCGTTAATGAACAGAAGGCATGCTAGGAAATCAAAAGATCGAAAGCCCCAGAACCTCTCTCCATTCCAAGGTCGTGTCAAGGAAGAGGAGCCTAGAAAAGCCGAGGAGGAATTGTCAAATCTTATGACTGATGAAATGGATGATTTGGTGGAGGAAGAACTACTGTCGGAAGCCGACCTAATGACTATGTTGCAAGCGGATATGACGGACGAGTGGGACGTAATGAACGTGGACAGATACTCTAGAAAGAAGTCCACCCGTCAAAATAAGGCACGTCATAAATCCAGAAAAAGGCGATACACGTTTACAAGTGATAGTTATATCGTTAATACAGAGCCATTGGGCTTGATGCAACACTTAACACTTTCCGATGCGCATGCTTTGACAATGGGATTGCCAACAGCCGAAGGACGAGCGTGTGTACGTCGTCTCTTTGGCCTACTATTGTCCGAATGCGCTCCGAAGGCAATCTACCGGAAGTACATAAAAGACCATCAAATTGTTCTGGATTTGAGTCAACTCAATATATCTCATTATTACGGGTAAGTTTAAGGGGGAAATTGGTTGTATGCATAATACGGCTAAATGAAATAAATAGCTAACGCATTGTGGGCTTTGATTTAGGATAAACATGCTGCAATCGAAATGAAAAGGAATGCAACAAACACACGTATATGCGCGTATATGCATTGTACAGCACAGTAAAGTTCATAGTGAGCGGACGTGTTCAAGCAAAAAAATGACTAAATATAGAAATAAAAGGTCCACTTTGCGGTAAGAGGATCCAAAGTGTAAAATCGTTTGTGAGCATAAGGTTGGTTGATGCACTCCGACGGGTGAAGCTCCACTAATTGCCGAAAGTTTAGCACTGCATAACATTACGTAACAGTGGTTTGAAAACGAATTCGGATCAATTGTATATCTTGTTATGATATATTTTGCTATAGATTATCCCGGGTTAAATGGGTTCGCCTGAACACACTTATGCAAAACTTTTTTGGAATGTATTCGGAAATCGATTGTGAAAGATGACGATTTGTATCGCCTAAGTATGCGTCACCACAACTGCAGGTGAATTGACATATCGACGTGAGACAGAACCGGTTTTCCAGCAACCTTTACTTTTGTCCAGATCAACTCCACGAGTAGAGGAAATGAGCCTGAGTTAAGCAGCTGGAAAGGTGCGGACTAGAGTTGAGTTCAATTTATGGGGCACATCTGATTGCATGTAAAAACGCCGGACTTAGTTTCTACTTCAGGAAATACTCAGAAGGATGAGCTGAGTTAAAAAGTTGCAAAAGTGTTTTAAAATGTTCATCCTTTGTAAAAATAAAGATGTCGTCCACATAAAGTTTGTGCAGGATTTGGAAATATTATATCTTGGGTTTTGTTCAATCTTTCCTAAAAATACATTATCTAAAATTGGACAGAATGGACTACCCGTTGCCATTCCGTTAACCTTTTTGTGTGCGGTCCATTTAAACTCAAAATGAATATTTTCTTTACATAAAACTTTTAATTTATTGGGTATTGAAGAAGAACTTTTCACATTAGATATGGCTGAATTAGCTTTATCAATATCCATCATTTAATGCAGCTCCAGCTGTTTGAGATTCCTATGTTGAGCACACAAGAACACGTTACATGTGCGGGTGATATCGGGTATTTACCAAAATCCGATTTGGAGATATTCTGGGTATGGACTATAAGGTCAGGGAGATTACTTCACAAAGACAGATAACAGAAATTGATTTGTGCGAAAAAGGAACAACAGTGCCATTGTTGATGTTATGTACAAGAGATTAAGCCACAGAGAACTTGAATTTCATTGAGGATTTCCTGGAGACGGAGAAAACTGTTTAGACTATAGAATGGGTAAAAAATCATTATATCATCCTCTTATACCACCATTACACATAGGACAGTTCCGCTTGATCGACGACGTAGTGAAACTTCTAAAAATGCGGTCTGCTCATCTTCTCCGTTTCCAAGACTAGGATTCAAGACAAAAATGTAAGCTTATTACGCATGATGTCATCCTTTCCAAACGTCTCCATTGCTGAAACTATTGAATACATGTGACTACATCCAAATCAATAATTGTGAAACTGGAACATCAGTTGTTTACTTCAAAAAATTATTGTACTTTTGCACATACAACGCAATTCAAATCCAATGACGAAATTTATCTCCAAATAGATGGGTCGCAATAGGATCTCGTCTGCTTCCACTGTTCACAGACGTCTTCATGGCTAAATCGATCGTTGCGTATTTTACAAGCTATATGTGGATGACATTTGGTGCTTTCTCGGTGACAGTTTGAAGCTGACAGGACTCTTGAAAGTATTTACCTCAGCTCATTTAAATATACAAATTACTTCAGAGAACGAAGAGGATGAACAGATTGCATTTTTGGACGTTCTGCTAAGTGGTCTATCAGACGGAACTATTCAGCGCACCATGCACGAAAAGCCATCATGGAATAATCAATATATCCATTTCAAAAACTAGTTGCCTTTGAAACGGAAAAGAAATCTGATTCGGTGCTCCGCTACCAGAGTAGGGAGAATATGTACACACGATACTATTGAGACGGAACTGGGGTTTAATTGAGACGTTTTCCTTTAAAACGGATACCCGGGAAAACTTGTGATCAATATTTGGAGGAGCCGCCGGTTGCCAAATATGATCACTGTTGCTGAGAATAAACCGGTTTACATATCACTATTTTTCAAGTGCGACACAACTTCAGAGAGGGTGAAAATTAAACTAAGTACAGTTGTACAGAAAGCATTCCCGCAGCAAAACTGCACATTGTGTTCATTTTGTGCTTTCGACTCAAAGATAAATTGCCCGTTTCTGCAGTCCTTCTATGTGTGTACTTATTTCCCTGTTCCTGTGGGACAAGGTATATTGGTCAGCGAGCAGATTTTTACCTGGACGAGCCCATGAGTACCACCCGGTCTGGCTGAATAGTGGAGTAATTAAAACTAGCAAGAGTTCAATCGTTTCACACCCAATGGAACCAAACCACGTGGTTAATATGACTGCGGCGTTTCGACCTCTCTACTTAGTTCACAACTGTCGATCTAAGGAGATTGGGCTTCGCATTCTGGCCACAGCGGAAGCGATTTATACATAAATACCCCCCCCCCATATGATTCCCAAGTAATTCGTAA